TCTTTGATCTCAGCAATTTTGCCAGGTAGCAACTCTGGGCCCTATTTTACAGATAAAACCCCTAAAGGCCCAGAGAGGTTAAAAACTTGCCCAAGGTTCCACAGCATGAGCCTCTACTGTCTGCCCACTGTCCACTACACCACACGTCCTCCCTCCTTTGGCTTGGACCCAAATTCCTTCTGTTTCTCAGCATCTCTCTCTGCTACCAGCCTTGGCATCATTTCCACAGTATTCCTGGAAGTGGGCAGCAATCAATGGGGAAATTTTAGCAGGAAAAAACGAGCGGACGGACAGACAATTGGCATTCCTAAGGCGTAGAAGAGACCCTAACTCTTGAGGAGCCCAGGGCTCAAAGAGTTTTTAGAGTTACGGTTTGGTGAAGTTAAATACAATTTATTTATTCATATACGCAACTAAGTTTTATTGAGCACCTACTATGTGCCCAGCATGGTACTGGGCTCTGGTAAGAGAGTGACGAATTAGGCAGGCCTGTTTGCACAGCATTCTTGAGAAATTTGCAGTAAAGTGGGCTTAAGAGACATGCACAAGTACAAGAACAGGTGCCACAAAATCCTTTAGCCAGCCACCAGGTACTGTCAGATCCACTCTCTGAATATCCTGAGAATCCATCCCCGCAGCAGCTGCTCTGGTGTGGACTACCACCGTCTGGCACCTGTGCCACTGAGGCCAACAGGGTCTCCCGAGCTCTGATCCCTTCCCACACTGCAACTCAAGGGACAATGTGACCCCTTTTCATCCTGTAAAGGCTCCTCTCTGCCCTTACAACAAAGTCCAAACTCCTGTGCTGGGACGTCTCCTCACAGGCAGATTCTCAGTCTTGTCCTCTGTTGGGTCCTCATGCAGGGCCAGGCCACAGGTGGGCATTCAACCAATGTTTTTTAAATGAATAAATGAGGCGGGGGAGGGGGGGAGGATGGTCTTTACCTTACAATGCAGCCTCATGACATCATAATGCAGATACCCTGCCCAGAAGATGATCTTGGTTGAAGGATGATTATTGGTTTATCTAGCTAGGATTCATCACAACCTCTTAACTGGACTTAATATGAAACTCCTAAGAGTTTCCCTATGCTGACGAGTGCTATGACTTTAATGGAGCTATGATTTTTACAATGTTATATAAACATGACAAAGCATAGGTATTTGGGATTGATGTGAGTGGGCAGTGAGGGCTCCACGACAAAGTCTGGTTTTGCCTTACTCAGTGATTTTGGACAGGTTACTAAGCAGTTTTAAGCCTCATCTAAAAATGATCCCTGCCTAGCTGGCCTAACGAGGTCACTGTGAAGACCAGATTCGCTCTGGTTGAGAAAGGACTGTCCAAACCCTAAAGGGCTGTGCACACAAACGGGGCCATGACAGTGACCAGAGAAAACAGCTTCCCACTATAGGATGTCCCCATCACACTCCTCCCCTGGAAGTGGTTGGGAGGGTCCACCAGGGTTATCTTTGTTGTTTGTCTTCTTTCCCAGTGGGGTTGTGGGTGCGGTGAGGTAAACCATCTGTCCAGATGATCTGCGTGAAGTCTCCACTAGCAGAGACAGGAAGATCACTGCGCCAGATGTTGCAAAGTCCTTACGTGGGCAGGGATGTTGGTTTGATGATCTCTGAGGTTCAGACCAGGGATTCTCTGCAATTCTTTCCCTTTCCCTTGGCAGGAGTCAGTTTTAAACAATGACAAGGATTCTAGCAGAATTGGGCAATTTCTAGAAAATCTGTTTCGGGAAACTCCCGGGTAGCCAAGCCTTCAGGCAGAGTACTTTTCCTTCTCCAAAATAAAAGTGCAAAAGAAAAATAGTACTGTTAATTCATGCAAGAGGGTAAATAACCGAATCCCCCTTGGAAGTCGCATGGCCCTCTCTCCCAGCCGGAACTCCAGACCGGGGAGGCTGCACAGGCCTGAGGAAGGAAGGGACATTTCACAGTGTGGTACTTGCCCGGTGCCCAGCAGCATGGGTTTTGCCCATTACCAATATGCAAACATTTTTTGATCGCCTCCCCAGAAGTTTGCTTGGGCCCAGGACATGGGGGAGGTCAACTGTTCGTCATTTGGTCCCGGCTTTCTGAGTTCAGGCCAATAATTAGTCATTTATTCATCCATTCACTCAATATTGAGACCTGTCTCTGTGCCAGGCACCGTGCTAAGGTCTCAACTAGAGAAATTAACAAGACACAGCTCTTGGTCTCAAGTAGTTCACAGTTAATGGGAGGGGGGCGGTAACCATCAAGTAAACATAATTATACAGGAGTAATCCAGATAAAGGTGAAGGGCAGGGAACAGGGAAGGGGAAGGGCATTTCAGAGGGAGCAGAATGACTAAAGCCTGGAGGTGACCGGGTGTGGCCATGACCTGCAGTACTTGATCAAAAAGTATAAAACCAGGATTGATGGACAAGGAGGTGGCGCAGGGACCAGTCGGGGAGGACCAGAGTCCAAAGACACTGAAGGGTAGAGGGGTGATATTGACACATTGGTTCAATGACTATCCAAGTACCTTGTAGAGGCCTGCCTCATGCTCAGGGCTGACTCAGGCTCCCATCTCACTTTAAAAACCACCTAAAATTCTGTCCATTTTGATGCAAAGAAAGAAGTTCTTTGGGCTGGTGATCCAACATCCGGTACACAGTTGGTGCTCCATCAATGGTGACCGTGGCCCCTCCCTGCCAGGGAGTTGTTGCCACCTATGCAATGTTCCCCAAAGATGCAGCATTTCATTCACAGGAACAGACATCATTGTATCATGAAAAATGGCCCATCCCTGCAGCTAACATCCACACCGCTTGTTTAAAGCCTTCTATTCCCTGAGATCTTAATGTCAAGAAGGCTGATTCTCATGGCTCTTTACGTGGACAAGAAAATGACTTTCCGCCCAACTTCAGCCCATAACAATTATGCAAAATAAATTGAAGTGTAAAAACAGGAGATGGTTAGCTGATGGGGCAAAATTAGGTAAGGTTTGGTTTCTAGCACCCTACTCTGCAGACACAGAAGCAGACCCTGCTTCCTGGAGTGTGAAATGACCATGCACTTTTTAATCAAATCAGGGAGAAGGCAGCACCAGCCTCAGCCTGGGGGCATGTGTTTGGACACCCATGGGTCCCCATTGGCGTCACGGGGCCTCCACTGTGCTCCCAGACCCACAGATGAGGTGAGCTGGGGCAGGCTGGGAACTCCTGGAAAGGACCTCCAGAGGTTAAAAGAGAACTTATTGGTTTTCTGTCTGATTGTAAAAATATGTGCTCGTGGTGGGACACTTGGCAAATGGAGAACAAGGAGAAAGAAAAAAGCAAGCCAGAGCTCCGCACCCTGACAGTAGATTCCCGTTCGCCCTCTGGATAAACGCCCCCCATGGGACAGGCAGTGCACGCGGGCAGCCACGTCCCTGGCTGTGCCATGTCGATGTCTGCACTGACCCCCTGCCCAAACTGCTGTCGCAGTGGTGGTTCCCTTCATCCTTCAGGCTCAGCTCCAAGGTCCCCATCCCAATTACTTATCCCAAGAGGATTTTTTTCTTGAACTCACTTCTGTTTGCAGTTGTCTGATTTCGTTGTTTGTTGGCAGTTCCCTGTTCCCAGGAATTTGCCTGAGGTAAGACTTGCCTCAAAGGCACAGGGTCTGTCTACCAGCGGGGGGGTCCCTAGTTATTTGTTAATTTGGAAGTAGGCCGTCTGGGTTTCTAGTATTTCAGTACCATGAATATGGCAATGATGAACACGGCCCATGTATTATAAATGCTGACTGAGCCCTGCCCGTTTTTTCTCTCTTGGAATATCTCCTGTACAAACCACTCTCCCCTCTCTTTCCGTGTGTGTGTGTGTGTGTGTGTGTGTGTGTGTGGTGTGTGTGTGTTGGTATTTGTTTTCTGGAAAGGGTCAGAGTTGGGGGCTGGGACCTCAAGTCCCTAGCTCATTCTTCAGCCTTCGGCAAATTCCAGGACTCCAAAGCCTCCTTTTTTCTGTGTTTTCAAAACCAATAAAGAACTCTGCCTAAGGTATGAGTTGTGAGCACCAAATAAGATCCTGGAACTCTCAAGACTCAAAAGAAACAGTGAAGAAACACACACACACACACACACACACACAAATATACCCCACCGGAAAGGCCCATACTCATTTTTCACTTTCAGTAAAGCCCCAGAGAGGGTCACTTGGAGATTCAGGGGCCCTGGACTCCATGGGGTACCCTAGCTCCCGGGGTGTCGGCTGCTTCTCCCTCCTCCTCAGAATCTGGGGTCATCTCTGGACTGGATTCCCCGGGGAAAAGGTTCCCAATATCCAGACCCAGGAAGGAAGTCTTTCTCTCCACGAGTCCCCAATCTGGAGACAAACGAGCGAATCCCCCAACATCATCTCCACACTCGCTGGCCCCCTACCCAGTCCCTCCCGATGCAGGTAGGTGTCCTTGAGGCGGATGGGCAAGGCTTGGGGGACACCCCTCCGCAGGGGGCTGCCTCCCTCAATTTTGCCGGGGCAGAGGACCTGGGGTAGAAGAGTGTGGGTGTCAGGGTCCTATCTGGAACCGGGCTGGGGTCGGGGGAGGCGCTGGGAGTAAGGGTGAGAGGGGGCGGGCCCCCATGGGTACCGGGACCCGCGGGCTCATCCCGGGTTGCGTCACCCGGCCCACCGCCCACTGAGACATCACAATCGGAGGGCCGGGACCCCGCGCCTCATTACCAACCCGACTGCAGCCAAACAATCCAAGCAACAAACTCCCCGGAAAAAAAAAAAAAAGAAACCAGCCGGAGTCCAGCCTCCCTCCACGCCCCTCCCCCTCGCCCCCCGGGGCCCCCGCCCCCGGATGCGAGAGTGAGGGCGAGCCCGCCCGCGCCCCCGCCCCGCCCGCGCCCCGCCCGCGCCCGCGCTCCTCCGGCTCCGCGGCGCCCTCGCCGGGTGCGTGCCGCTTGCACGCCCGCCCGCCCGGCTCTCCGCGCCCGCCGCCCGCGCCCGGCCCGGGCGCCCCGGCCCTGCTGCCCGCGCTTCATGGCTGCGCACGAATGGGACTGGTTCCAGCGCGAGGAGCTCATCGGACAGATCAGCGATATCCGAGTCCAGAACCTGCAAGGTAACGCGCCCAGCCTCCCCGGAGAGGGGCGCGGAGCGGGGGAGCCCGGGAGCCCCGGGAGCGGCTCCCCCCACCCCCACCGAGGAAGCTCCGACCCGCGCCGCCCCCTGCCCCGTCCTGACCCGGTCCTGTCACTTACGGAGGGGAAGGGGGTCGAGACACCCTCCCCCAAACCCCGGCATTGCCTCCCCGACCAAATGAACAGTGGCCCCCGGGGGGTGGGGAGGCACACGTGTGTGTGTGTGTGTGTGTGTCGGGGGGGGGAGCATCCCATTTGCTTGAGAGGGGCGGGGGCGTCACGATCCCCCCTCCAGCCGCAGCCGCGAGTTTGGAGAAGTTTGTACTTGGGCCCTTGGGGGCGGCGGCCCAGGTCAGGGAGGGGAGGAGAAAGTGAGATGGCGCGTGTGCGTGTGCGCGCGCGCGTGTGTGCGTGTGTGTGCGCGCGTGTGTGTCTGTGTGCGCACGCGGCCCAGGTCAGGGAGGGGAGGAGAAAGTGAGATGGCGCGTGTGCGTGTGCGCGCGCGCGTGTGTGCGTGTGTGTGCGCGCGTGTGTGTCTGTGTGCGCACGCGGCCCAGGTCAGGGAGGGGAGGAGAAAGTGAGATGGCGCGTGTGCGTGTGCGCGCGCGCGTGTGTGCGTGTGTGTGCGCGCGCGTGTGTGTCTGTGTGCGCGCGTGTGTGCGTGTGTGCGCGCGTGTGTGTGTCTGTGTGCGCACGCGGCCCAGGTCAGGGAGGGGAGGAGAAAGTGAGATGGCGCGTGTGCGTGTGCGCGCGCGTGTGCGCGCGCGTGTGTCTGTGCGCGCGCGTGTGTGCGTGTGTGCGCGCGCGTGTGTGTCTGTGCGCGCGCGTGTGTGCGTGTGTGCACGCGCGTGTGTCTGTGTGCGCACGCGGCCCAGGTCAGGGAGGGGAGGAGAAAGTGAGATGGCGCGTGTGCGTGTGTGCGCGCGCGCGCGTGTGTGCGTGTGTGCGCGCGCGTGTGTCTGTGCGCGCGCGTGTGTGCGTGTGTGTGCGCGCGTGTGTGTCTGTGTGCGCACGCGGCCCAGGTCAGGGAGGGGAGGAGAAAGTGAGATGGCGCGTGTGCGTGTGTGCGCGCGCGCGCGTGTGTGCGTGTGTGCACGCGCGTGTGTCTGTGTGCGCACGCGGCCCAGGTCAGGGAGGGGAGGAGAAAGTGAGATGGCGCGTGTGCGTGTGTGCGCGCGCGCGCGTGTGTCTGAGTTCGCACAGTTCCTAAGTACCTCCGGGGCTAGGGGAGCTGAATGGGGCGCGGCGCCTCGGGGTGGACGGGGGAGGAGGATATCAGAGGCGCGGGTCGGTGGGGTCAGGCGGCCTCTTTGTTCGGGGAGCTGACCCTCCCCTGGCCCGGGGGTCACCTGGGCGGGGGTGGGAGGGTGGGGTTAGGGCGAGAGGCCGGCCGGCGCGCGACGCTGGGACCTGCGTCTGCCTTGGGACGAGGTGAAAGAGACGCTTGGGAGCTGGCAGGTCTGACAAGGGCTGGTGGGAGGCGGTCTCCCGCCACAGACTACATGAATTTATCTTCCAGAGGAGTTTGTTCATTGTGGAAACTTAGCACAAACATATTTAAAGGAAAAAATTCACCAACAATCACCCCATGACCCATGCCCCCCCCCCACACACACACATGAAGAAAGCCGCTTTTCATGGAGGTGCACTTCCAGCCTCTTTCTTTTCATATGTGGACTTTGCAGAACTGGACAGAGCTCTACCTTCCGCCTCTCTTCACCCACATAGGCCTGGACAGGGAAGTTTAGCAGCTTCCTCTGTGGGCTTGGGTTTCTAGAGATTGCAAGGTCAGGGGGCAGCTCAGAGAGAGCTGGGAGGCCTGGACAGAGAGGGGGTGGGGCCGTGGGTCCCAAGCAGTTGCCCTGCCTTTACTGCTGGAGGGCAGAGAGCCCTAGCGGTCAGGGTGCAGTCTTGGGGGGTGACGAGGCAGTCAAGTTTAAACATTACACCTGATAAAATGTTTCCTGGGAGCCCATATGGCCTGCTCCACCCCTAGGTTGGTCAAGGACAGTGCAGGCAGAGGTGACCTGCAGTGGAGAGGAGGGGAGCCTAGTGCACTGGACACTGGAAACTTGAGTTTGCTCTGAGCTCCCCTGATTTTTTCTGCAGTGATTTGTGTAAAGTAAGGAGGATTGAGCTGGAGATGCTGAAAATGATCTTTTTCGCTAAGCCTCACGTCTGGGTCCTGTTGCCTGAGAACTGACATCCTATTTTGGGGGTGGGTGTCAGTATCTTTTGCTGAGATGGCATCTGGTTTGGGCTGTCAGGTTGTGTGTGTGTGTGTGTGTGTGTGTGTGTGCCTTAGGCAATCAGTGGGTGTTTATTAAGCACATACGAACCAATTCTTGGTGCAACAACTTCCTGCACTCCTCAACTCTCGGTAAAAAGGAGATCGACTTTTGTGAAGGGCTGTTCAACAATATGAGCAGCTAGTTACACCTGGAACAGTGAGAGAAGGCTTCACCCAATGGGGACAATTTGAAATGGGTCTTGAGGGTTGGGTAGGAGTTCACTGAGTGGGCTCCTCTCTCTCAGCCCCCAGTGAACTGTCCTCACTTTTAGGCAATTGCCAATTGCAATTTGAGCATCAATGGGCTTTGCCATTTAAAAAAATAAACTTTTAACTTTATGTATATTAATGATTATGTACATGTATATAAAATATGCATTAATCTCAAGTACAAGCCCAACACATTTTTATGTATGGATACACCTGTGTAACCACTGCCTAGATCAAGATGTAGAAGTTTTCTAGCACCCTGGATGGATGCTTTGTCTCCCTCCCCCCCCCAACAAAGCAGCTACTATTTTTATCTTTATTGCTGTAGTTTTGCCTCTAGAACTTCTTATAAAATCGAATAGCACAGTATATATACTTTTTTGAAATGGCATTTTTTTGCTCCACATTGGTGCGTTTCATCCACTTTCTTGCTTGTATCAGTAGTTCCTTTTTTTTTTTTTTTTTGCGGTACGCAGGCCTCTCACCACTGTGGCCTCTCTTGTTGCGGAGCACAGGCTCCGGACACGCAGGCTCAGCGGCCATGGCTCACGGGCCCAGCCGCTCCACGGCATGTGGGATCTTCCCAGACAGGGGCACGAACCCGCATCCCCTGCATCGGCAGGCGGACTCTCAACCACTGCGCCACCAGGGAAGCCCAGTAGTTTCATTTTAAAGAGAGTTTTAGAAAACTACTGAGGCAGTTTTACATATTGTAAAATTCAACCTGCTTTAAATTTATAATTCAATGATTTTTAGTAACCCTGCAGAGTTGTGCAAACATCCCAACAATGCAGTTGGGGAACACTTTCATTACCTGCTAATGGCCCCTAGTGTCCAGCATCTGTGTCAGTCTCGCTCCCAGCCCTAGATCCAGGCTGTCCGTAGTTCCTTGTTTTCGCCGAGGACTCTTCCATCATATGGATGTACCACAGTTTGTTGATCTGTTCTTCGGTGAGGGACTTTTGGGTTGTTTGCAGCTGGGGGCTGTCCTCAGTGGATGGAGCTGTCAGTCCTGGCGGGCGCTGTGCAGTTGCTGCCCAGCGTCGCTGAGGAGAGGCTAGGAGAGGCAGTGGGCCAGGAATCTGTCTTGTCTCTCTCCATCTTTCCCTTGGCATCTCCGCCTCTTAAGGATGCTAAACAACCATTTTCTCTCCTTGTCTCTGTGGTGCTCAGCAAGTCCAGCCAAAGGGCTGGGTCCAGAAAGTGGTCCTCGCCATGCTTAGAACGTCTCCCCAAACCAGCTGGTGGGTGTTGGCCGGCCCTGGACGTGTCTGCGTGACACGTGGGCCATGGGCGGGGGCCTTGTTCATCTGAACTCGGCATGGGTGGTAGTCAGGAGTCCAGGCAGAAGGGTTGTCTTTCAAACTCTGTGCTTCTTTCGCAAGCACAGGTAAAAGCAGCTGTCGTGGTGATGGGACTCTGGGTACAGGGGAATTTCACAAATCTGCCATCTTAGGGACTGAGGCGGATCCCCAGCCTCCATCAAGCTTTTGTCTATGGCCCTGTGGAATTGTGGAATCCATGCAAATATGACTGTGATGTCACCAGACCATCCCCCAGGTCGGGGGGAGCAGGGCGGAAAGCGTGGCCTCTCCCAGGAGGGCTGTCACAACTCACTGTACCTGACACGTGGGCACGTGAAGTCCTCTTGATGTGCTCACTTCGATGGCTCATAAAAGTGTCTGTAAATGAAGGACTCCCTGGCAGGGAGCATGGATGTCCATCTGGGCGAAGCTGCCTGTGCCACACTCACAGGGTCCTTTGCCAGGAAACGGGGGCGGCCCAGCTGTTGACCTTTTCAGAAGGGAGCACGTGGAATTGCAGGATGTGGGCAGCCGCCACCTGGTGGCCCCCACTTCCTTGGAGCCTCGTGGGGTAGAGCTGAGGTTGGAGGCGGCACTTCAGTTCTGTGCATTAGTTCTCAGCCGGGCTGTGGGCAGCAGGGGCTCCGGTGCCTTTCTGATACAAGGCTGCCTGGCTGCCCCCTCTTCCTCTTTGACTTGGCCTGAGGGTCCAGCTGAATGCTCCACCAGTTCTGGGGTCCCCTGACTCTTGGTCCAAGGCAGGTGTCAGGCCAGTGTTCGGAAGATGCTCCCGTTTCTGTAGGGAGCCTCCACCCCCACCCCCTGCCCCCAAGATTCATAGTCCTTTTCTGCTGAGTTTAGCAAACATGTGCCAAGCATCTAGCATCGTGCAGACACCAGGGAATGCAGAGTTGGTTCTTGTCCCTGCCTTGAAGGAGCATGAAGCCATCACGGCACCCAGCCAGACCGGGGTTGGAATTTTCTGCTTCTGGCAGCACAGACATCCGTTCAGTTCAGGACCGTCTCCTGTTGCTCTGGTGCCTGTTGGGTCTGATGCTGTGAACTTTGACCTCATTGTTCCGGAGCGACTTGGCCAGAGTTGGAGGTGGACGGAGTTAGATTAGGCTGGGCAGACATAAGGCCTTCCCACTGCATCTCTGGGGCAGCCTGCTAGGTA